GTACAGATAATTTTACTCCCCCCTTGAGTTTCCTTGGTCTCCAGCCCTTAAACAGGTGATCCTTTAGGCGCTCTTCTCTAACCATTCTCCCTCTAGACTCTTTTCTCCTTACCTTTGCTGACCGTTTTATCCCGGTGTCGGGACAGAAACCCCTGTGAGGGTTTCTACCCATGGTTCTCAAGGTCAGACACTGTCCGATTTTTGGATTTAGGAACTTGATGAGATTGACGTTGCCAAAGTTAGTCAGACTGACCCTATAATTGAAAGACCTAAAACTTGACGCCCGTCACGTGTAACGACATCGACATCCGTTCAAGACAGCGGGAGTCGGCACTGTCCTCTACGGTTCTCGACGAGGCCGCAGTAGTGTGCGATCATGGAAAAACTAAAGTTAGACCTAGTCTACCTAGAATAATGTCGCGCGACTGTTAAGCCGCGCGATTCAGGACCTAAGTAGGCTAAAAAGGGGTGTGCGCTGGGTATAAAGCCGCGACGCAGGGGGAATAGGAAAAAAAGTTTTAATTCTAAGGCCGATGTCAAGGTCGCGCGGCCAACTGAGCGTGCAAGGCCGTGAGTCGGCGGGGCCGGCAGGGCCACAGACAGGTAGGTAGGCAGGGTTGGCAAGGCCATAGGCAGGCGGGGCCTGCACAGCCCCGGCGCGATGAATAACTATTGGGCAAAGAAGAGCTACTCCTACCTATACCGTGGTAGGAGCTAGCTTAGTAGGTTCTAGCAGACAACTGTCACCCGCCAGATACCGGGATCGAATCTGAGAAGTTGCATCCTACTGGGCCAGCTCCTTTTAGAGCAGCCCGCAACGTGGGGTTAGGCACGACCGATTTCGGTCGTGCGATCCTTGAGATCGCGCGACTGAAATCATCCGCGCCAAGATTAGCTTGGCCCTGTGCAAAGATGGCACGCATAAATCGAAAAATGATTTGACTTTTTTTTTTTTTTTTTTTAATTTGAAAAAAATAAAAGAGGAAGGTGAGGCCCTAACAAAAAGGGTAGGACCGAGCTCCTGAATCCGGATGTGTTTTCAGCGGAGATGCTGAAAAGCAGTTCGATCTCGGCTTCCTGCACATCTCCGCGAACCCGTCCAGATTCGGACACTCAATCCGATCCTCCTTGCTGGTGGGACTACACCCCGACATTCGGGGTTGTATCGTGGATTTCAGCCACGTGAAGACACAACCGTTGGCTTATGCCAATGGGGAAAAAAAAAAAAAAAAACCCAACAACAACAACAACAACAACAAGACAGGAAACGACGTGCCACCTAGCGCATTTGGAAGTGACTGGGAACTTAAAGTTCCCAGTGAAGAGACAGGCGCCCGTTAGAAACGGGCAGGCACGTAGGTAGGGGTTTTTCTCTTCTTTTTGTTTTCGTTTTCTCTGGTTAAATTTTGTTTAGATTTTTTTAGGATTTGTTTTTTAGATTCGATTTAGATTTTTGCTTTTTTTTAGTGCCCGTTCGTTTCGAACGAACGGGTTGACATGACTGCGCTACACTGTTTCATCGGACTTCCACCGACTCATCAGGAGGTTAAACCTTGACAACCAATCTACGGATGGGTAAACGCATCTGCCGCCCTAAGCGGCTAAATTCAGAGAGAGAGAGAGAAAGAGAGAGAGAGAGAGAGAGAGAGAGAGAGAGAGAGAGAGAGAGAGAGAGAGAGAGAGAGAGAGAGACCAGCTTACCT